TCACAAACACACACACACACACACACACACACACACACACACACACACACACACACATAAAGTTAACTACACCAGTTGCCATAAACCAGTAATAAACAATACTTTTACAGAATTTAAGCTAATGACATTTTTAAAATCTGTTAATATGAACTAAAATGAACAATAGTATTTTTACTAACATTAACAAAAATGAATAAGCGCTGGTGAAAATACATTGTTCAGTTCACGTTAGCTAATTAACTTATTTAACTAAATGTACCTAGTGCTAACAAATGTGACCTCATTGTACAGTGTTTACCAATATATGAAAATAGAGTAACACTTTACAATAAGGTCCTACTAGTTAAATTAATTAGATTAACTCACATTAAATGAATATTTTTGTAAAGTGTTACAGAAAATAAACATGTGACCAAATGAACTAAAACTGAACTGAAACTACTAACAATTAAACTGAATTAATTTGACATTTACATTTCGCAGACATTTTGATCAAAGCAACTTACAAAAGAGGAACAAAAGCAGACGTCAACATTCTTACAAAATAAAAGTCATCCTGAAGCAGTGAAGCGCTTTACCAGGGTCTGAGCAGATCCAGCGCTTCAGAGAACTTGTTGTTGAGGACGAGGTTGAGGGCCATGCTGCACTCCTCTATAGACGCACGCAGATCCATCTTAGACGCCCTGAACACACACACACACACACACACACACACGTGTTTCATTCACACTGATCAGATACTCACACTGGAATGCGATCGAAAGCATCTTCAAAACAGTCCTGAAATGCACAGAACAGAACATGAACATAAACACGTGTTTGAACATGTGAACACGTGACACGCATGAGTTCAGATCAGCTGTGAGTTTCACTAACACACGGTCTCGATTTACAACTCAAATTCGGACTGTCGCAAACCTGATGCCTTCATCACCATATCCTCTTTTATGAAATTAATACTTTTGTTCATCAAGGATGCATTAAATTGATCAAAAGTGACAGTAAAGACATTTATAA